TATTTTGTCATATCTTGCCCATGTCCAATGTCTCCCTTCACCCACTGTTATGTTGTCTGTCCCCCAGGGAGAAGGTCACATATAGATCCTTGCAATCGGTTCTCTCTTTCCAACCTACCCTCCTTCTACCCTCCCAGTATCACCACTCACACCACTGGTCCTGAAGGGATCATCCGCCCTGAAGTCCCTATGTTTCCAGTTCCTATCTATATCAGTGTACATCCTCTGGTCTAGCCAGACTTGCAAAGTAGAATTGGGATCATGATAATGGGGGTGGAGGGAGGAAGAATTTAGGAACTAGAGAAAAGTTATATTTTTCATCATTGCTACATTGCACCCTGACTGGCTCATCTCCTCCCCAAGACCCTTCTGTAAGGAGATGTCCAGTGGCCTACAAATGGGTCTCCACTCCATACCCATGGGCTATGTTTTTATGGCAATTTTCTTGCCTATGTAGTAGAATTGGGTGGGTTAGACGAATTGGTTGCATCTTGTCCTGCACTCTGGAAATGCTTACAAAGATGATCTGATTGTTAAAGCCTCAGAAGACCAAGACATACGTCTCCATAGGAGGCAGACCTTCTTTAACTGTACGTAATACATCATTGAGATGGCTGTTTATCATAGACACCAAATCAGAAAGCAAGACTCTTTTGCTAAAAGACTAGAGATGGCCATCCTCACTCTCATTACTAAATCAAAGTCTGTAAGCCATAAGTTGATGTGTGGGCAGAAGGAACCTAGAGCCGTGGCACTTGGGTCAGGCTCTTCTTAAAGCCTTTAAACTGTAGGTAGGCTCTTTGGCCCTCATGCCCTGTAAACCACTATGTATACAAGTATTTGCTATATTTATCTCTCTTCTGGAAACAGTATCTAGGGCAGAAGCCAGGGCTCATTTATCTCTACATTCCTTGCTCCTGGCCTGCTACAATGAGCAGATATGAAAGGGAAGGCTCTTCCATCCTAAAGTGTGTATGTGTGTGTTGGGGTGGTGAGGGGAGGGCAGTGGTAAAGTATGAGGGTGCTACAGAACCCAAAGCTCATGCCCAGCCATGCAGGAAGGGTACTCACGCTGACAGACAGCACTGGTCCTACTTTATACATGGCGTATCGGTCAGTTCCAGCACAGATATTGACAGGTTCCACGCCTGGTTCTTCAAGGCCCAGCTCCTGAGCCACATAGGTGGCAAAGGCTTTCATGCGGGAGGGGCTTCCACCAACACACACAAACTGCCAGACAGAGATTTCATCAGCACAGGCACAGCCCACTTTAGACCTTGCTCGTAGTACATGCAACATCAGTACCACCTGGACACCCAAGCTCCCTGGTACTTTAATAAACCCTCTGGTGATCCTGATGCACATTCAGGCTTAAAATTCTGCTTGTTGGCAGCACTGTTCAGTACAGGAAGCTTGGGCAGTGCAGATCATCCAGCTACAGAAAACACTGAAAGATTGGGCTTTTGTTCTCTATGTCCCATGCATGCTCGGCTGCACTCCATCACTGGAAAAAACAGCACAATGTACTAGAAACAGCCTGGGTTTTGAGTAAGGGTGTGTGGACTCCAGCCCTGTTCTACAACTTAACAGCTGTGTGATGAGGGTCCCTGCCACAGGCCATCTGCAAAATAGAGGTAATCATTGCTACCTCTCAACTGGATGTTTGAGAGTCAAATAACAGCCATAGGTTAAACATAATAGGCCAAAAGCAGAATTAAATGAATCAAAAGCATATGCAAGGAGACTTATCAAGTAGCTTGAAGCCAATTCAGTCAAAGGAGACAAAGACTGACCGAATATGCCTGTATTGTTATTTTATGTTCCCATGTACAAGCAATGGGATATACGGACCATAGTGCATTCTGATTTTTAGTATTAATGTTATTTAGTCTACCTTTGTCCATATTAATTAACTTTAAACAAAACACTGGGGGAAAGGGTAGGTATAACAAATTTTGCCTTTATAACAATATTTAGGTGTATAATTCAATGCCATTAATTTCTATCCACCATGCTATATACAACCATCACCAACATATAGTTCTAAAATATTTTCATTACCCCATAGAATCTTGGTACACATACTAAATTATAAGCAAAAGGCACTATGGAATTAGTTAGAATCCAAGATCCCCTAGAACATGTTTCAATCTTCCTGTTTTATTTTATCAACGAAGCATTTGGAAATTCATTTTGTATTGTCTCCCTTGCATGCTAAATGGCTAATGAACTCATTAGCATGCAGATGGATAGTTTTCTTGTGCTTGTCAGTTCACACACAGTACTCCAGAAACAAGAACAGCAAAAGTGTACTTTTTATGAACTTGTCACCAGTCATCTTTCAAACACCGGAGGTGAGATCTACTTGTATCACATAAGAGGGAGTTGAGCTTAAGGCAAATTCCTACAATGAAAAGTCTGGCTTTTTACCTTCACATCTCCAAACATAGCTGGGAAGTCATGGGTACTGGTGCTGAGGCTGAAATGGTACAAAACATCTTCCTTCATTGCTGCTATGTTTGGGTTTTCAAGTCGAATGGAGCAGTCACTGTTACAAAACAAAGGCAGAGATTTAGAGACTCCCGTGTCCAAAGGCTGACACCGTTCTGTCGAGAAGTGCCTTCTGTTATGGCCCTAGGAACCTGATAACACATTCTTGTGCCAGTGTACTTCCTTCCCTAGTCTTGGCTCTATTCTTATCCCATTTCCTTCACTCCATGGCCCTTGTCCTGAGAGCAATTAGGAAGAACTCAGAGCAGTGCACACATCAAATGCGCTATCCCTTAGCCACTCCCCCAGTCAAACGGATTCAAGGACTAAGCTTTATTCTGTTTTAAAAGTAATATGTTCGCCACAGAGAATATGAACAGAAATATGAAGAGAAAAGGATCCTTCTCAGACATAAGCACTATATTGTTTCACATAGTCTTCTAAGCTTGTTTTATGCCGTGTACACAAGCAAAGTCCAATCACACGGGCACTGCAGCATAATATCCTGACACTGTAGCGTGTAATATAATTTATTGAACAACTTTCTTATTATGTGACATTAGGTTTGTTTTCACCATTATAAGTAATGTGTCATGAATATTTCAGTTAAAACCTGTGTCTATATTGGTCATTGTTTCCTTGAGGGAAACGCCTATCATATGATTAACTGAGTCAAACTGTATTGTTTTTCAGGCAACTGGCCAACTTGATTTCTGCCCAGTGTTCTACTTAAAGAGAGAATGCCCACTTTCGTCTTTGACAACTACAGGCAAAGGAAGAATTTTTATAAGTGGAAAAAAACAAAATTAAGCAATAATATGTACAATAAAGGTTCTTAAAGAGAGCAGTAGAATTTCCACCTCCAATGTAGGATACTCAAGTTCAATTCCCGGCCCATGCACTTCATGCAGAGCCACTGCTTTCTCTTCTGTCAGTGGAGGCTGCATGTTGCTATGATGCTTGTGATGGTTAACGATATGTATCCACTTGGCTAGGCCATGATTCTCAGTGGTTTTGCAGTTAAAGTGAGGGGCTGCACAAAGTTTTTGGACGAATTCTGTTCATTCTGTTCATATCTGTTCATTCTATTTATTTCACAAGCGTTTTGAGGCCTCCCTTCCCCCACTTGATGTTCTGGTAAAGGTGACTCTTTCTTGATCCTGGACCTGACTCAGGGTCTTGGGATGTGAGTCCATAGCATTCCACCTGGCTACAGATTTTGGGATTCACCAGCTGATGCAAGCCCATGATCCAAAAGCTCTCTACCTACTTTTGTGTTTTGTGGCTCATTGACCACGCAGCCTGAATGACACCTCCCCCATAGATTGAGGACGTGCCCGTCTCCACAACCGTGTGAGTCATTCCCTTGAAATCAACCTGACTGCTTCTGCATACACGTCACTGGCTTTGCTTCTTTAGAGAGCTCAGACAATGGTGAACAGGCTGCAGCAGCACTTCCAGACTGAGACCAAGGAGGAAGGCCTTGCAGTGCACCTGGAACGTCAGGTACGGAAACCTTATGGATGACAACAGGCGGATCTTCAGCCCATCGTGAAAATGGCACAGTCAGGTAGCGCCGTGCGTGGGATTTTGAGTCATGAGTGTACTAGCAGCAACAGCAATGTTTCATCGACATGGCAGTCAAGGGCCTTCTTTGCTACAAAGAGGAGCTATTGGAGGGAAGCATAGGACAAACCCGCTACAATGGGACAGGGCCAAAACATTGAATCACAGCAGACTCACGTTGGCACTCTGACAAGCATTATATCGAAAACTATGCAAGCAAAGAGCATTTTTTTTCCACGAGAGAAGCAATTTGTAGCATATATTTTTATGCCCCTTCAATTATTCCCTGTGCCCTCCTAAAAGATTTGGTTCATCTGACCAAAGGAATTGTTTGCAGCAGGCCATTCAGCAAACACCTGCATGTCAAGACTACACCCTCTCCAGGACGAGATTCAGGCAGGACCCTGCCTGGACTCTCTGGCTTGTCACCAATAGACTTTCCTTTCTACCTCCAATTCTGGCTTTCCTTTCACTCCTGTTGTTCTTAGATGGCTTTGGTTTTTTTTTTACACAGGCATATAAAGAGCCCTAGAGGCCTTCTCCCACCCTTTTCTGTCTTTGGATTAGAGCCACCAACAGATGCTGGAAGCAAGAATAGAGGCCAAGTATAAAGCTGGGTTAACAAGTAACCAATAAGGAGAGGAGACTAGCTGGAAGCAGGTGAATCTGACTCATTCTGACAAGGCTGAAAGCTCGTCACGTAGATTATTGCCCACCTGTGGTCTGTACTAAAGCCATCACTCACTCCAATCCTACTTTTATCAAAACGAACATCTCTAGCTACTTCTGAGCAAAGTGCAAGGCCCAGTCTAACCCTTATTGTCCAATATAGCAGCTGTTAAGTCACATGCAGCTACTGAGCATTTGAAATGGGAATCGTATATAAACAACACATAAATGAATGAGTGTGGCTGTGCTTAAATAAAATTTTATTTACAAAAATAGATCCTCCAGGTCTAGATTTTTATATCTCCAGCCTGCCAATGAGATATAACAATCTCTTTGAGTGTGCTTTGACTTGAAATTTTTTTTATTCCTTTTTCCCCTTCTTTTAAATTTTGTATGTCAGTGACTTTTTTGTTGTGGGCTTGTCAGTACTGCAGC